TCTTAAAATTAATGAAATTGAAATTTGGAAGGAATTTGGAAGAATATTTAAATAGAAAATATATTACGGGTGAAGGGTTTGATTTTGGAAGATCATAACTCACAGATTTTAAACCCCAATTGATGGTGTATGACTCATGATAATGATTAAGAACATAAACATTTAAAATCCTCTTCTTAAAATTGCAAATCTACTCATTAAGCTTTTAAAGGCTTAGTAGTGAGCCAGGCTTAATCAATATTTTGTTTAATGAGGTTTAAAGAATAATCCATAACTAATTTAAAACCTATTAAAACACTACAAGACCATCTTTAAAATTAAAGTGCTAAGTTTCTTAATTTGGCCAAATTGCCCCTAAGGGTCTTTACCCATATAACTTATAGATAAATCTTCAAGTTATAATTCCATCATCCTTAAGGTTAGCTAGAACATCAGTTCATCGAGCATAAGGGCATGATAAGGATGAGTTATCAAGCAACCTAATGAGTTTGAATGAACTCAGGACTTTACAAGGGATAGTGAGATGCCCGGGGGCCCAGTCCCGTGACCTTTCTCATACTCTTTTGGATATCTTGAAGGACGATTAAAACTCATTATGCCTTGCTTAATAAACCATCTATACACTTAAATAAATAGGACCCACTAAGATACGACATAGGATCTGGTAGACATACCTCAGACCTGTATTTTTTGTTTTTCCTACCAGCATATTTTAATTCGTGCAAAATTATATATATACATATACGCCATGCAAGTACTTAACTTTCAGGTGGAAGAATGAGAAGACTCGACAGGTACGCTTTTATAGTTTACAATATCTTTTTTTCATATACTTTATTTTATACTTTATTTACTATACTACTATACTTTTCATGTTTATAAACTTGCATGTTAAACAACGATGTTACCCTGCATGTCAAAACTAAAACATTTAGGATAACCACCAAATTGAAACCAAAACAAAAATAAAAAAGATAAAATTCATCGCCACAACATTTAAAATATAAGATAACTCAAAATTTAATAACAAACAAAACAAAAAAAAACTGTAATTAAATTAAAATGTCTTTATCAGATGAACGGGAATCCCTCGGAGGAGGGAACCTAAGGTTGGTAATGAGATTTCCCATGCTCTAAATGAAACTATGGAACTCATTAAGTTGATTTTACTAAATTCATTTAGACTAAGTGAATCTGAAAGAAAATAGTGGTGTTAAAACGAGGGAACCGTAGAAACCTAACTGGTGTCAGTGTAATCAACTTTAACATCTCCCATAACAGTTAAAATAACCATGAATGGCAGTGAATTTTATCTTGGTTGATTTTATCTTTGGTTTTTGTCACATTAGAAAATTTAAACTTGTTATTTTAGTTTTCATGCAGGGTGACATGTGGGCAGCATGACCATCTTGACCATCTTTAACAGCAAAATGTAACAGCAAAATGTGTCTACATCAGTTAAACCATTCCTTAGAATTAAACAAAAATCCATAAGACTTCAAGGTTTTTTGCTTATGCAACATAAATCCTCAACTTATCATTAGGCCTTTGTATGGTTCTGTTATACAATATAGGCCTTAAATTGTCTTAGGATTTTGAGATTGTCGTTCGTTACGACCTAAATCCTCACATCTTTCAGGCTATTTGTGTGATTATTTAGGCTATTTGTGTGATTAGATTATTTCATATGAATGTAAGTCCTAACTAATAAAATTTGCAGGATGAAACATTCAACAGTTCTATTCTCCTCTAAATTGATGCCAAACAGAAGGATAGTTTGGGAATTCATTGGGGTTATCTTCAGGATCTATGACACCCACTAGTTTTTCTTCCTTTGGTTTCAAAATAAAATATTCCAAGTTTGAGTCATTCCCTTTTCAAACCTCTTTATCCGATCTCTTTGAAAAGTCATATCCCTTTGAAATTCCTGAAGACAATATTCCCAAATTTTTATCGAGAGTTTTCTTAGGTCACTTTGGTTATCTAATATGTAATTAGCTATAGGGGCTTGCCCTCATAAAAATCTTTTCCGAACCTAGCTTAATATAAACCCTACTTAATTTTTCATATTAAATAGGGGTTGTCGGCTTATAATAAAATGGTTTTGCAGGTCAAACAGATGTCATATATTTCTTAATTTGTTTAATCGAGTCTCACCCTCAAGTTTTATGTTTATCTTTCGGGATAGATACATAGCTTGAGGTGTAGTACTCTTTCATCTAAACTTTGAAAGATATGAGTTCAGTTTGATTTCATATTTTTTTCTAAACTTTTTTATATATATATATATATATATATTAAATGTCCCTCAGAAGCGGGTGATAGGATTTCCATTCTTGCGACCGACAGCTTCCATAGGTTCCCTCTAAAATTGTGCCGACAAATATATATGAAGAAATAAATATAGTTTTGGTGTATCACGGGGAAAGAAAAAGGTAAGAGAAATGATAAATAAAGAAGTGAACAGTGATCGTGAATGGGGTCAAAAGATATTACTAGCTAACTTATGGTGTATAAACAAAGATGAAGCACTGTAAGGATCTGACAATTTTTGTCACACCAAAGCTCGAGAAAGGCGTTTAATAAAAATATTCTTATCAATAACAATTTGGATAAAAATAAATATCTACATATATTTATATGTGCATAATAACAATAAAGAAGGCAAAATCAAGTGTCAATGTGTATGTTGATTGATAAGAAAAAATGTACTTATTACCATTATTCACCAAAAAATAAAAAAATTTACAAAATGGTCGGCCACTGCCTCATCTCAGACACCCCATGCTTGAACCTTAGCTCTCCCTCTGTCATAACATTATGTACTCTATCTATTTCAGAACATAACTGAAAAATGAAACCTCCTCTTGAATGACAATTAATTTGATCCTCAATTATGACAACTCCGCTCGGATGGTAGATAATTCATCCTTTATGGATGGGAATTCCTCTTGAGAAGGCAAAGCCAAAGCTAAACCAAATGGAATTAAAATGTTGGTTGTTCTCGCTAAACTCGCTAGTTTGTCACAAAGCAGCCCTCCAGAGTGCGTGGGATCATCGACGACCTCAGTATCCATAATGGTCACAACCCCGAAAACCTCCCTCTTAGTGGCAAGAGGGGGCATGGAGTCCTCACCATAGGATGGATCCATCATCTGGTTCATCTCCGAAGTGTGAACAAGAAAAATCATCCCATGATTTCTTTTCCCTCAAATGAAGGTTGATAAGAGAGTTGAGAGGCGCCAATCGTAGAAGGATCAAGAGTGATCCCATGGTTATCCATTGCCTGAACCTCTGGAGGTAATTGGTCTTGTTCCTTCTTTCGGCCTTAGCATTTTCATAAGATTAGATGGAAGGGAGAGGAAATTTCTTGACCATCTCGATCGTCATCCAAAATATCACATCCTAAAATGTTATGCATTTTACAGGAAAGCCCCCCCTCGCTACCAAAGAACGTCCCGTGGAAGGATCAATATTCAAGTCAAATGACCCTACTTCCACCACCAAGTCAAGGATTTTCATCTCATTGAGGGAACGATTCTCGTGTAGACCGTCCTTAAAGTTTGACATTGCTCTCTTCCTCATGGCATGAAATATCAAGGTTTGGGCCTCTTCGATTACAGACTTAGGTAGCTTTCCACACTTCATACTCTATGTTGTTATGAATTTGCAGAGAAAACTCGAAAGAACCCTTGAAAGATAATTATCATTCCCATCTATATAATGACTTTGCTTGGAAATCATGAAGTAATTAACTTTTTTGGAATGAATAGTCATGACTACCATGAATGTGACTCAAAATTTATATTCACTTTTTCTTATTGCAATTGTCACAATCAAGGAGCAAGATAATTGAAGAACTTTAATATGTAAATAAAAAAGTTGTTAGTACGAATTACAAGGACATCCTACAAAGGACGAAGGAGGTGGTATGACTTCGTTGGGCTCACCAAGAGTGATCAAAGTCGGGAACGCAAGTAGTCAGTTTCACATACCTTGAAAATGTTGCAGCTCGGAGACATAATTCCCTTCCCCTGAAGACTCCTACTATTCGGACCTAGTCTGGTAGGTGGTCCTCCAATTGAACGATGTTAGGGAAAGAAACGACCCTCTCTCCCACCAAGATAGCTGATTTACCATCCAACCGTACGATCCCCTGACCAGACGGCCGCCCGGTTAAAGGACCACCCGACCTGGTGCCATCTTTACCTAATGGCTCCTAGCTTGAGGAAGGGTGGGTATAAAGGCTGTCTGCTCAGTTGATCAAACAGTCCACTCTATGCGACCCATGAGCATCATATAGAAACGGTCAAAAATACCTCTGTCGTATCTATGTATCATAGGGGTATAGTATGTGATTTTAACATGACCACCCCAATAAATAATGGGTCCATCACATGAATAAAGGATCACACAATTTCACTCTTCAATATAGTTCTCTCTCTCTCTCTCTCTCTCTCTCTCTCTCTCTCTCTCTCTCTCCCCCGGGAGTTCAGATGCTCTATTCCTTATATGTGCCATGGAAAGATTTGAATTCAACAATTTGAGTTCTGTTTAGTTGAAATCAATTTTGAAGAAAATAACTTCATAATTTGAAAGGCTTTTTGGTGATATCATCTTGTAATTTCAAGTAAATATCTCAACAAAATCTTAAGAAAATATAGCCGTACCATGCAAACTAGAAGTAATTTTTTTTATCACAATAGATATTTCTCCCAACGTGTGATACAAAAACGTTCTATGCCGTATCTGTTTCGGCATCAAAGCCGGGTTGACTAAGCCCAGTTTGACAAGCTAATAGAACTCAGCTTAGGATCGCCGACGTGGCATACTTTCTCACTATACAACTCAGCAAACTTAATATGATTTAGCGGGTTACAAAAAAATCCCTATATTCTGGTCTCCATAACATTCCGGCACATCTTCTTCCTATCATCATCCTATAAATAGTTCGATGCCATGGCAACCATTCGCATCGTCTTCAGTTTCATCTAATTTCTAAATCAGTCTTTATTTCTAATTATCTATAACCTTCTTGTTCCAATTTCAATTTTTTTCTAGTTTTTCTTCTTCAGTTTGGCTTGCAGCTCGGAACGTCCTTATGGTTTGTTTCTCTCTCCCTCTCTCTAGATTTCTATGTTATTATAAATTTAATTTTGTTAGAATATCTAAGCAGGAGAAAGGAAATGAAATTATCAAATATGAGGAGGTTAGTCATTTAGTTTTTAGTCTTCTTCTTTAATCTCTGTCTTTTTTGTAGCATTAATTCAAACATTAAATATTTTTGCTTGTATTTTTTTTCTTAATAGGAGTTTATTTATAGTCCTCGAGGTTTAAAGCTGTTCACATGCAGATGGCTGCCAGAAAATAAGGAATCAAAAGCTTTGATCTTTTTATGCCATGGTATTTATAATTTTAATATTCAAAATTTCAAATTCCTTTATTGAATTTACTTTATTCTTTATTTAGAAATAAATATTAATATTTTTATGCTTCGTTTCATCTGCTGGAAACATTTCAGGATATGCCATGGAGTGCAGCATATCTATGCGAGGTAAAAGTTCTGAAATTACTTAGGTTGAATTTAATGATACAATTAATTGATTAGGATGATAAATTATTATTATTATTTTTTATTTTTGGAAAAATCAAATAAAAATTAGTCTTAAAATATTTCAGAGACAGCGAGGAGATTGGTTATAGCAGGGTTTGCAGTATATGGAGTAGACTATGAAGGACATGGAAAGTCTGCAGGATTGCAAGGCTATGTGCCGAGCTTTGATGGCCTTGTGGATGATTGTTTGCATCATTTTATGAGCGTTTGTGGTGAGTGATTTGTGTTAATTACTCATAATTCTTTTTTTTATATAAAAATCTTTTAAACTATTGTTTTGACTGGCAAAGTTATTTGGCTTGAATTAAGATTCAAATTTAAATTTCCCCTTTATTTAGTTTTAAGTGTAGTGGGATTTTATTAAAGTAGGATTTAGTAAATCACAAAAATTTAGATTTAGTGAATCTTAGGGGAAATAAATCTGAAATTTATTTCGCAGGGTAATAATTAAATATTTAAATCATAATCTTTTGTTTAATTATTGCGTGAATCATTGAAAAATAAAGAAAAGATCAACCACTTAAAATTTTATTCCTTTTCTTCTCACCAAGACGTCTTGTCCTCTTGCAAACGAACCAAACTCAGGGGGAGTAATTATTGGTTATTTTAATATAATAGTTATTATTTATAATAATTTATTTAATTATATGTGCAATGATTTAAGCTGTACTAATTTAGTAATTATTCTTACATTTATTAATTAATTTTCAGGTTCTGAGAAATGCTTTTTATTAATTAATTCATGTTGAATTTTATCTTTATGTGATTAAAACTTAACTTAGCTCATAATTAATTAATTAATTTTTTCTTACTTCAACTCTATTAATGCCACAATTCCAACATTCTATAAATTTAAATATAGTTTATAATTAAATATTTTAATGGTTCCAACTGCTAAAAATAATATCTAAATATTTCAGGCTGACACCTGCTCATCTACACATCACGTAAATCGAGCCTTTCATGTTCAAGGTCTCTAGCTGTTGATCTTTTGAGCATAGTTAATATTGAAAAAAGAAAAATCAGACTACTTTTTTTCATTGACTATTGAAGGAGCTGGGAAATAGTGTGCCTTGTTTGCATATGATATCTCTTTTAGTCGTTGCTTCTCATGTCAACTTGAAGCACTTCCTTCTATAATCTCGCATCCATTTTTTGCTTGCGTTTTATTTAAAATTGAAAACCTTAGGCTATAATTTTCTCTAAAAACATAGAAAAATAACGAAATAAAAAATGAAATACTCACTAATGTTAATTCATGTTTCTGTTATAAAGTTCCATATAATTATAATCAAGCAGAACGTTGATGGAATTATTTAATTAGCTCTCGGCAAGACTGAGAATTATATTTTATATGCTTCTAATTTTTTCCTACTCTCGTAATTTAATTCATCAGAAAAACCAGAGAACCAGAAGAAACAGAGATTTCTAATGGGAGAATCCATGGGAGGAGCTGTGGCCCTTATGCTTCACAGGAAAGCCCCGGTTTACTGGAATGGTGCAGTATTAGTCGCACCAATGTGCAAGGTTATAATCAATTAACAATTTCTTAATTACTATATAATTCAGTATCAAATTATTATGTCATTGATTAACATTAATAATTTTATTTTTGTAATTATTATTTTTATTTGCAGATTGCGGATGAAATGAAGCCTCATCCTCTGGTCATCAACATTTTGTCCAAATTATGCAAAGTTATACCCACATGGAGCATTATTCCTACTCAAGATATCCTTGACGTTGCAGTAAAAAGTCCAGAGAAAAGAGAAGAGGTAAAAATACACTTTGCTAATTATAATTTTTAAATTATTATCTACTAAACACCTTCATAATACACATGCTAAAATACTTTAATCAAGTTTTAAGCGCTAACTAATTCTGCTAATCATGGCAGATTCGCTCTAATTCTCTTTGTTTTAAGAGAAAGCCTCGCCTTAAGACTGCACATGAGCTTCTCATGGTTAGTATAGAAATTGAGAATAACCTTCACCAGGTAACCAGTAACCTTCCTTTTTTTTTTTGAAGGAAAATTTACAGATTTATCACTAAATTCCTATGTATATTTAAATATGACTCCTAAATTTCATTTTGTTATAGATATATCATCTTACCTATGCAGGTGCTTTTCACCACTTAAAAAAGTAAATAATTAATTTTTTTTTTGTGATGTGAAATATTATGGTGATAGAAATCTAAAAAGCAAAGCTTAGGTGTAAAACATGGAAATACATAGGAGTGGGAGGAAGGCATATCTAACAGCTAATTTTTAATTTTTACATACATATCATACCATACCATAGTACCTATGCATGAAAATTAAAGTGTATTTCATTTTCCGCTTAATTTGAAATCAGGGTGTTTTGAGTTGATATTACAGGTCGACCATCTGTATTTCATTTTCCGCTTAATTTGAAATCAGGGTGCTTTGAGTTGATATTGCACGTCGACCATCTGATCCGATTAGGAGAGTAGATAATTTAGATTCGACTTGCATTAAGAAAGACTGTATAAAGAATGATTTTAATTTACTAGAATTAAATGAAATTATGACACTAAATACGATGCAATGAAAAAAAAAAGATGATTTTAATTTACTAGAATTAAATGAAATTATGATACTAAATACGATGCAATGAAAAAAAAAGTTCGTTTAGCCGACCCCACGTAGTGGGACCAAGAGGATAGGTATGTAAATTCCTAGGAATTGGGTGGCATTTACGTACAGCCTTTTTTTTAAAACAATTGAACTTTGCATATATGGTTATGACACTGTCTTCTAAGCATATATATATATATAAATCCTTGTTTTTTTTTTCAAATTTTATTAAAAAAATAAATGTTTATAAATACTTTAAATGCTATAGATCTCATTGCCCTTCTTGATCGTTCACGGTGGTGACGATATCGTTACTGATCCCGGCGTCAGTAAACTGCTTCATGAGTCGGCATCCAGTGGAGATAAAACCTTTAAATTATATCCTGGAATGTGGCATGCCTTAACTTCAGGAGAGACTCCTGAGAGCATCGACCTCGTCTTCTCAGATATTCTTTCCTGGTTGAATGAACGGACCATCATAAAAGGCGAAACATCAGAATATGAGCAAAAATCAGTACATGACTGGAAATATAAAGAGGTGGATGGAATGGAAATTATGTAAAATAGATTTGGTTTTTTTTTTTTGTTTTTTGAGCTGGAAAGTTTTGTCAAACTGTTAAACAATAATTATAATTATTTATAAATAATATGATTAACTTTGCATGGTTAATTAGTAGATATTGAGGAATCACATCTCACAAGGTTATTTAACTAAGCGGTGAAAATTGTTTTTTTTTTTATTTAGTCAATGGATGGATTAGATGGACACACAGATTCATAGTGATATATTAAACAAAAGTTCATCTTATCACAAGCTCCTAGAAATGCTCAGCCGGTGACTGAACACGTTGTTTCATCCATTTCGTCAATGAGTATACAAATGGTGGGTTCAATTATTCGGGGATTATGTTAATTTATATTTAAATCTATTGTCTTGATTTGCCATTGAATAAAGATTTTCATTTAATTAAAATATATCATCTTGAAGATTGTGCAGGCCTATAGACCCTTATCTTTGAATATTTAAAAATATCCCCTAAAAAAATTATAATCTCTACTAGTTTTCATCAATATTAAACTCGTAACATGGAATCTAATTAAACTTACATAAAATTTAAAGTTAAAATTCCAAGCTTACATCCTAATATGGTCTGCATGATACTCGAGATGATCTAGCAGTCCGGATCGAAAAGCATAAAATGATTCACCCTAATGAAAATCTACATGCACTCATGAAGCCGACCGACTGAAGAACCACTAACCGACCGACGGCTAATGACTAAAGGGTTGAAGACTAACTCGAGGACCCTCAGACTAGAAGTTAGACTGGTATCTATACAAAATCACTGACCGACACCACCTTGGTCGACCGACTCGAGGACTAGTCGGCCAGAAGTTTCAGGTGCATTAAAAAGCGCCTAGATCGGTTACAAATACAAAAAAGCAAGACAAATGACAATAATGTCATATAAAGCCCTATTAAAGCCCCAACAATCACGTCATTTTCTACATTTTCTCCCTCGATCTCTTTTAAATAAGGGGATCATATCATGTTTTAGTAACGTTTGCCTTCCCAAACTTTAGCCTTTAGGCTGTTCTCTCTGGACCAGCTCTTGTAGGGAGATTTCTCTCACCTTCTCTCTTATAAACCCCCAGTTATAATATATTCCAGTTCTCCCTTGCACGGCAAGTTTATTTGTACTCTTTTATTTCATTATTCCTCTCTTTATCTCTATCTACTTCTTCGTCAAGGCTCCTACCTCTTCAATTCTTGGGCATGTCTCACAGGACAATGTTGACCTGACTTTTATAAGAATCTATCCTAAATTGACATTTATGGACATGACATATCTTGAGCCACCCACATTACCTAAGGATCCCCACACATTCTCCTAAAAGCCCAATGATCATCATGATCATTGAATTAATTTTTGGGAGGTGTCTATCAACATTGACTTCTAGAACCCATCTAGGGTCCCCCAATCCTAAAAATTAGACCAAATCTCCAAGGTGCCCTTTTTTGAGCCCAAATCATGATGACACCCTAGGTTGATCAAATCAATGATGACAAACCTTCATTTTGTCCACCACATTAACCATTTGGTCAACTCTAAACTCAATGGTCACCCCATTGACCTTTTGGTCAACCTTGGACCCAATGGTCACCACATTGAGATTTGGTCAAACTTGGTTCATTGTTCAACCATGAGATCCAGTTGGTAAAAACTGGTCAATTGGTCAACTCTGGGACCTAGTTGATCAAACCTGGTCAAGGGTCAACCCTAAATCACCTCCCTTATTCAATATATTTAGCATAGGGTCAACACAACTTTACATGGCCAATCCTATACCCAAGAAGATTCAAATGGTCAACCTCTTGAATTTAACCCAATTAATTCATTAATAAATTAATTAATCGAGTCATTAAATCACCTCATGAAAAGGGTTTAGCCCAAGGGCTACACATGGAAATTTAAGCACATTCGTGAAGGCCTAAGCCCAAAACTCCCTTTACCCATGTGCTATTGGGTCACCCATGACCCATAAACTCATCATAACATGCCAAATCCTTGGGGTCTATTTAGCCACAAAGGGAGTCACTTTTTTTTCCCAAAGTCAAAAAATCATCATGAAAGGGGGAGTATATGACACCTTACCAAAATTTCACATCACACTCTTGGAACTTAGGTAGATTCGTTGAACTAGCTCATTACCATGTTGTCCATCCACCTCATCCCCTCTTCAATAGGAAGAGAGCCTTGTCATTGCCTCTTCCTCCTCCATGCTTAAGCATATGATGACCTAACCATGGAAATGGGAGAAGGGAGTTATCCATAGCAAAAATTTGATCTCTTTGGACTCCTTGAGCCTCTCTGTACCACCTCCTGCCTCCTTTAATTAAGCCTGAGCTTAGCCACCTCCTCCCATGGCTATAAAATGGCCATACCCGAGAGCTCCCAAAGAAGAAAGGATGACATATATAGCCCTCAAATCTTGACACACTAAACGACAATGTTCTTCTTCTCACCATAGGCAATAAAACCCCTATAGTTTTAGCTCATGAAATTCACTGAATAATCCCAATTTCATACTTGAAAACTAGGGCGATTTTTTAGGATGAAACTGAGTCAATTTGCAAGCTCTAACCTATAACCATACCCTTATGACACTTCTTCAATAAAAATTGAGCCAATTTGCAAACTCTAACCTATCCCAAGGTGAAACTGAGTCACCATTCCATCAAGGACAATCTCAGGCTCGATTCTAACTCAATTTGGACCCGGGGAAAGCTTTCTGAAGTCAAGGTAAATCCTTACAACATTTTCAATTGAGGCTACACCTCTTGGGCCAAGGTATGGACCTCTAAGCCTAATTTCTTACTCGGGTTTATGAAGAAAATTTTCATCTCACTCTTGATTCATTGTATAGATTTGTTCTCCTAATCTTCATGAAGCTTTAATAACAAGAATGATAAAATTTGGTGGAAAATTGATAAAGAAATTAAACCTAAATCATGAACTGTTTTCGGTCCATCGTCTCATGGGGACGATGGACCGATGTTGTCCATTTATACGCTTTGTAAATGGACGGGTCTGATTTAGTCGAACCGCTGATCTGTCCATATGAAGTAGACGAAACCTCGGACCACATGGTTGTCTTTGTGGAGAGCTTCTCCAATAGCTTGCTACTGACAGAGATTTTATACATACTTAAAAATACAAGTATTTAATACTACTGCTAGAAGATTTAATTCTTCACCAACGGCACCAAAAACTTAACAACGGTTATAGATTCGATAAACATGTATATATAAAATATTCAATAATGGTAAAGTCACACTTATC